TCAGGCAAATTTTCTGGTAGCAGTAGCTCTCATTTAAAAGACTGCACACAAAATTAAGTCCAGAATTTTATCTGTCGCTTGTCATGCATTTGTAAAGATTGCAGGCATCACGTCCTTTCTTCACTGGAAAATAAATCCCCTAAAGTTCTTCATACTGTTTGTTGTAAGACTGTTTGCAAATCAGTACAGTTTTCTCTCTGAAGATTTTAAATTCACTAAAATCAAGCAATAAAGAGTTATTAGATCTCATTAATTAAAAATGCATTCTGAAGTCTGTCACTGGAAGCTTCGATATGAATGTGATTTTCAAGTAAAAATATTAATTGCAGATCAGGTCAAGAGACCCAATCTGAAAGACCAAAGTCAAAGAAAGGATGGCAACAGAAACAAAAGTGTTAGACATCTTGCCCGTGGATTTCATTGTTTTAATAATATATCTTAAGGGAATACAAATTACTTTAACTTTTTTCTTTTATTCTCAGATATATGAAAAATGTGGCAAAAAGATATATCTTCACCATGGCAACGGTTATCTACTGAATGACCAGACACTGGGCTGTTTTTCATTTTCATGTTCACAAACAATCAGATTCCTCCTTTTTGATATTTCCTTGTTACCTAGTCCATCAGAAGGCACTCAGTTATATTTAGCAATGTACTCCATACCGGTCACATTCAACTAAGTATGAAGCAAACAGCAAGGAAAAAGGATTAGGAGCATTTTAATCAGCATTTTAATAATCCAGATTGGCAATCTATAGAGTAGTTTAGCCTGCATACAACTTGAATAGACTTCTCTGGAATCACCCTTCATTATATATTGGTCCTGCTCTACAGTACCAGTAATATTTGGTATTACATAATTATTATATATTTTTCTTACACCACTAAGTGAAAAGGAGTGATTTTTTGACATCTTTGAGATTTTGCATTTTTTCACCACTGTTTGTGGTATTTTATTTAACATACTATCTGAAATACTTGGTCAGTGACTTTTCATTCCAAATATTTGCTGCCCGTGGTGCATGGGTGGGTGCATAAGGCATTTTTCTGCTCTCTGACGAGGTAACTGACATTTTCAAATTAAATAACAGATAACACATAGTTGTGATGACTAGCAAATATTTTGTTCATATGTAGGAAAGACAGATTGACCACCACAGGAATATCGGTGAAGATCATATAAGAAAGAGCTAAAAACAGTTGAACCAAAATACTTGCTGGGAATCAGAAGATCTGCAGACCTTTAAGCAATCAACCATCCCTCATTCCAAGTAACAATGTACATTTCTCTTTGCCAAGGGATGTACTTGGTGTAGCATAAAATAATATAGTAGTTTTTTTCAAAGGAAAGGGAAGATGTCATTTCTGCTGAACAGATTTATAGTTATGCAGATGATGTTAATGATAAGGATTGTCTGGTTTCTGGTTTGGGATATAAATTGCTTTCTGCAGGGGTAAGGAAGTCATTCACCTAATTTCCTGCACAAAATTGAATTTGTCTAGGCATGTTATGGGACTTTTTACTGGATGGCTGAAAAAGGGAGTAAGAATTTGGCAGCTTCTGAAACACTAGCCTACATAGCTAGCCTGATTAAGCATGACAAATTCCAGTTAATGAAATTACAATACTATTAATCAGTGTTCCTCCACATGTAATATATTACTGACACTAATACCGATGTTGTTTGCAGCAGACTAATACCTTAAGAGAAAATATGTCTAGATCACGCAGACTGCCACTGTGAATATTGCAAAACTTCAATACTACAAGCTGACCATGGCACACAAAAGAAACATGATCGATCTCTGGTAACCATCCCACCAAGTTCGATTTCATGCCAGTATTTCTGTGAGTCTATGGTATAGCTATATTTCGTTGCCCTCATGACAACCCCGTTTCTTCCCTCCCTTTGCCAGTGCAAGTGCGAAAAGCAGGACACAAACCTTCGGATAATTACTATGAAGATTTTTTAATTTCCAGACAGCAAATGTCAGAGGGCATTGCCTGTAAACTTGGCAGGCACACAAAACACATAACAGGCTGAATCAAGTCCCATAAAGAGTGTAAATGATGTTTGTACATGTTTGGCAAAGCAGGAAGTTACAAAATAGCCATCTTCATCAAAACATTGTTTCTAGCAGTCAGCATCAGAGAGTGAAACTTTTCTTACTGGAAAAGGAAGGAGGGAGCACTAGGATGAGGGATTTGAGGGTTTTTTTTCTAACGATTACATTTATTTTGGAAACAGAAGAGAAAGGAGAAGTGAAACCTTTTGAAACCTCAAGTCTGTGTGACAGAAAGGGAATTTATCCATCCATACACATACACAGAATATTCAACTCTTCTGGAAAACTCATTCCAAACCAATGACTGAATTTCATTGCAAAAGGAAAGAGAAATTGGAGAAATTCACACTCTGAATAAAGCACTAGCTGCATATTATTTGTAACATATTTCTACTGAGCTACAGAAGGACTGTTAAGCTGTTGAGCTGAGGTATAGAGCTTGCTCTATCATCAGGTCCTGAAGAGCCAAATAATTAATGCAGTTTTCATTTGAATTCCTGCTCTAGGTGCAGAGTATCACCAGATTATTCTCCAGACAGAAGAATCTTTAGCATTAAATAAGACTCTTTTAAAAGAAAAACAACTTTTGACCCTCTGAATGTAGCCAGATGGCTAGCAGATAAAGCAACGTCAGTAAAGCCAAAGATGCATATTTTGAAATAGACCAGCTGATGAACAAATCTTCCCTGATTTCAATAGGCAGGTCCCTGCATTCAACAGATCTCTGCTTTCCTTCTAAAGCCAGTGAGTTCATTATACCTGGACAGTATTTGGAAAAGAGCATGTTCTGTTGTTCTGATACAGATGGAGAATAAATGCAGGGGTATCGATTCAATTACCCTGGTTTTACAGCAGTGTAATTGTTAGCAGAATCTGGCTTCTTTTTTCTAGATATTTTAGTATTCTCTGAATATGACAGATAAGGCAGTCTGCTATACTTCAGCTGCTATACAATTTTTTTCTTTAGAGTCTCAATGACCTCCTCTTAAAATTAGTCCACTGATTGATTTGTATTCCACAGGGTGCTCATTACTGCTACCGTTAGTGCACAAGATCCCATGAACATAAAAAATTACCCTAAAAAATGGCAATTTCAAGCTTTCATTAGAAGTTCTTTCTCACAGGTTGAAGTCAGTGAAGCAGTAAGTAATTAAGACAATTTACTGTAGCGTGACTCTATGTATGTCACCATATATTCCCACAAGAAAAGCCATGGGAGACATCTACATTAGAATTTTCTTATGAAGCTTTCTTCCGTATTTTGAAGATGGGATTACAGAGAACATGGTACTTGACTCTCCAATCTGAGCAACCCCCAAGAGCTTTACACTGCCAGTCCATTTGCATTTGTGTTGATGCCTTCACAGTATCAGAGTATCACTGGTATCACTTATAGCTAGCAATCCTGCTAACACAAGTCAAATAAAATCACTTCAGTCCAGGGCTGTGTGAATTGCCCTTGGAGACTCTAGAACAGTTACAGGAGGTTTGCTTTGATACTGGTTTTATTTTGTTCACCATTACCTGCCCTTGCTGCTCACAGATGCCTGGACTCCTGCAGAGTGTTCTGTACAGATATTGCGTTCTCTTTATGAGCAGATAAAGAGGATTAGATCAGGCCACAGTTTCATTTCCTTATAGCGATCAGAAAATGAAGAAGAAACCTAGGGAATATACTAAAAGTTGTACTAACCACTGCTGTAGGCTGTAAAGACTACAGACATTCCAAAGCTGTGTTGATTAGTAATTAGCACAAAGCAGATGGGAAATCATGCTGTCTCCCCAGGAAGTTAATGCAAACTAGTTACAGTATTTATATGTTGTTGAGACTACCCTGCTAAAATGTGTTTTAAATAAATAGCAGAACTGGAATTAGCTTGACATTTCAGTAAAAAATAGGTAAGACCAAATATTGAATTGGAAATTAGCTTCAAGTTTATGCTGAAAAGAGAACAGGAGTTCTCTATATTCATAAATTATCATTCTTGGGTTTAAATCCTATTTAGTTTTTATGATGTGTTTTTAAAGGCATCTGCTTTAAATCTAGTTTTATTTGCCACTTCTCAAGAAGACTGAATCTGCTGTTCCTCCCTACAGACCTTGAATGTGATTATTGAAAGATTCATTCTCCATTTGATTGGTACTCTGCTGCCATATATATCACAGCATGTTGTGTATTTTTCTTACTCAAAAGATTGGATGTTCAGAGAATTGCAATTAATTCTAAAGGCTAAGGAATTTCAGCTACTTTGGAAAGTTTTTTTGAAATGATTCCACAAAGACAAACAAGGAACTCCCATCTTTTTGTACCAATAGGGTTTCTCTGTATCATATCAATCCTAAATATAGGTTTGACAGTAACGAGCGTGGAGAAACATGCTCTCTGTCTAGGTTGGCCCAGACATTTTGAGGTTGAGTGGTTGATTAATACATTTGCCTTTTTTTGAAAAAGAATAATTAGCAAAGATGCTTTTATGTGGGCATAACTGAAATGGGATAGCCTGTTGAGACTGTGAGAAGTGACTAAGAATGTGCGAAACTGGAAGAGGGAATTGAATATTAAATTACTTTTTAAAAAAGTCTGGAATATAAGGCTTTCTCAAATCTCATCCTCACCTGGAAAAAACAGTGAGTAAACAGGGAGGCTGTGTTGGGCAAAACTTTTGCTGTTTTGATGTAAGCAACTTTTTGCATAAGTTATGGTTTAGAGACTATGAAACCTTACTACACACATGCAAATGTCTTCTAGAATTTTTTTAAAAATATAAATCTCTGATACAGGAATGAAAAAAGGCTTTAAAGTAATTTTTTCTCATAGACAGTGAACTTCCTAGTGGATATAACAATCATCTCCATCCTCAGACCAGAATAAGCTAGAACACAATCTCATGAACTGCATATTATTGTACATTATTATTTCTATTCAACAGATTATTTCAAAGAGAACGATCAGAGTGATCCTGAACCCTCAGAGGACACCACCAGATACTATCAATCTATTAAGAAACACTTTGAGGAGAAAAAAAGTGGGTCATCATCTTTTGTGTCCTCTATTGAAGATGAGCAAAAGCCCCTGTTCTCTGGGATAGCTGATTACCCATCTGTAACAGAGAAAACCACAGAGGTCGACTTTGAAGAAATAGTTCATGCCACAGAAGAAGTTCTTATTGACAAAAGAAGCAATTCTTGCAAAGGTAATCTAGCTGATGCTATTTTGTACAGTTTGAGTAGATATCTTTTTTAGTCTAACTATCAAAAATAATTTTCTGAATGGTTCTATCAATTCTTTACATAATTTTTACTTTTGTGTTTCCTTTAAGGTTAACTAGAAAAAATATTTTAGATCAAAAATTATTATTTCTCAAGAGAATTAATGTAGTTTAACACACTGGCTGTGAGACTGGACTACAGAACTTCCAAAAGGCTATTCCAGGTTTTTTTAATAGATCATCTTGTAACTGAACTGCCTTAGGAAAGTCATTTGAACAAACTCTTTAAAATTGTCAACTGGTACTGTACTTTATTGAGTGCCCATGGATGAAAACCATCCCCAAAGCAGTAAAGAATCCCTCAAGGGGTGTTTTATATGCCAGAGCTGGGTGACAGTAAAAAATCCTAGATAATGAGAGCTAGATAAACCTAATGATGGTTGCCCATGCAGAAAAAAAAAATGTTTTCAGGTAACTGGTTTCATTCTCTGAATTGACAAGGCACAACTCAAATTGAGTGAAAAAAAATCATAATAGCTTGAAAGAATGCTACCCCGTTCTGCTGCATATTTTGATTAAAAGGAGTGCCATTACACCACACAGACCAAATCCTGACTTCCATGAGTAAAACACAAGAATAAAGATTTGGCCTTTCATATATGACAAATGATCAAAAGCTATTAAGCAATCTCAGTTAATTTTACATAGAGTTAAATCACATAATTAAAATTACATATAATATATTAAAATATTAATTTTCTCAGTGATGTGAAGGGAAATTAATTAAAAACCCTGGATTAATATACAATTTAAATATCGCTGAAAGTTCATTTGTAATTGTTTCAGTCTGAAGGGAAGAATTACATATTTACTGTTTAATGCTGTTTTCCCTAGTAGTTTGTTTCCATTGAGGAAATTTAACCTTTTAATCATCATTCAATAAACTTCAGGCTCTTAGGCTATCCCTTTAAATGAACCTAATGATGAATTAGGCCAAAAAATTTAATTTTTACATTTCAAAGGTATGAATATATGAAGTCTGGTCTCCTCAGGTTAGGGCTATATAAATCTGCACCACATAAACTTGTTGCATACATACTGCAATTTGAAAGCTTACCTTCCCCTACCAATAGCCAGAAATGTGTCCTTGCAGCTATAGCAACATTTTCCAAGGCAACCTATTGCAGATTTTGTTTGAGCTAAATTTAGCATGTCTAAAGGTTACATATTTTGATTAAGACCACATTCTTTTTTCCACTTTGTTATCTAGCGCTTCTGGTAATATGTATGAAAGCTCATTACCTTTCTTGCAAATTTCATAAAAACTTCAAGGTCAATAAAATAAGATCAGCTTTGATACATGTTTTAAATGAAATTCTTACTCCTGCTATTAATTAGAGATTGATTACAACTTGCCATACAAGTAGTATAAACGTAATGAAATTTTGAAAAAACAGTTTGTATGTATGGAAATTTATAATCCACATATATTAAGATATCTTTTAAATCTTGAACATAAATCCACTTGTATAAAGCTACTGAAATTCATTACCACTGTGATTGATACATATTTAATTATCTTTAGTTTTGTTTTAAGCTTTCATCATTACATGAATGGAAACAGTGATGTATTGGATAATGTGGGCAGAAACTGCATAAACTTCTTTCTCATAATCTTAAAATGCAACTTTAAAACATGTAGCTCTTCTGATAATTTTAATGTATAGTAATCTATATATTGCAGAAAAATGCTATTTTCTGTTCTCACTTGGTTGGTATTTGAACTATAGGGTTGATTCTTGAATTGTTCAAGTGAATCCAGTTATACATTTATTGATTTAGTTCTCAGTCTAGGATTCTTCAAGCCCTGGAAGACCATAGTTGGTTATAAAGCTGTAACTGCTGTTGGGCTTTTCTGGAGTTACTCATATTAACTTGCTAAGTGTATGAGCTTATTTTATAATTTGAGTGTAAATTCATCAGCTTTGTCACGAATTAAATGTTTGTTGTAATAGTCTACAAATACATATTCCGGGATAAAAACCAGTTTTTAGTTTCCAGTCCTGAAATTCACTGCTTAAAAGTAAGTCCACTGGATTTACAACATTCATTTCACCCACACCCATAGTTTAAAATTTTACCCCTGAAATTTGTCATAGCTTTCACTTTGCTGTAAGCTTTCCACTGTAAACTGTGCCACATGTGCCTCCTAAAACCAAATTACATGCTTCTCTGACACTGTTTTCCTCTTTCCTTCTGTTGGTTTATGTGGCTGAGAAGCTGAACAGGTTTCTGTGTAGCCAAGATGAAATCTCTTTCCCCTTCCTTCTACTGAGTGCATAAAATCAGTTACAGGTCATGTCACGAACTTCAAACACTCTCTACAGCTCCAGGAAACTTTCTACCACCTGCTAACCAAAGATCAGATAATGCATTAAGCACCTTTCTCTGACAAAAAAAAAAAAAAGAAGCAAGTCTCCTCCTCCACTTGGAGTCACGTAGTGAGAGCTCCCCTTCCTGGCTAAATCTGTTTGAAATACTAAACATGAGCAGGAGTTATTTTTTATTATTATTATTTTACTTAGAGAAACACTGCTCAAAGATGTGTTTGAAAAGGCTCAGTTAATAGCATTTTGACAAACCTCTCACGTCACCCATACTGTGGTTTTTTCACTTTTCTTTGAAGCATGGCTCTGGCTGCTATGGTTGCTTAGAAAAATTTCACAAGTGTGAAATGAATGTAACCTATGCTGAGTTACCAGCACGCAGTGCCAAGAGAAGCGTTAGGAGAAGCTCTGAGCAAACCATTCAGGGACTGTTCAGGGATTCAAATCCAACTGCTCATACAACAGAGGCTGAGTCCTTATAAGCAGCCAAGGATTTTGTCCAGCTGCATGTTGAAGCAGCAGCCTGAGCACAGTAAGAACTTCTCATACATTCTGTAACTTCATATACTTAAATAACTACAAATACAATGCTAATGGGAGTTGTGCTGAACAGGTGTTAAAGCTTTAAACAGCCTTTTTTACTACAGCGGAGTAGAATGTGAGTGGTATTTTTGACTGCATGACAACAGATTCACTCAGAGTAACAAAGGCCTGAGGCCGGTGGGGGTAGATGTAGAAAAAGCACTGTTCCTCCTAAATATGTCACCTGCAGGCTCTGCAAAGCTCACAGAAAGATCTTAATTCTATATCAGATAAGGGTACTAGCAACTAACAAATCCCATGATAAACGATTTGAAACTTTTCACCAGCTTGGTCAATAGGAGAAGCAGCCTAAAGCCAGGAATGTAAACTAATTAATAAATGCACAGAGGTGTAAATTAATCAAACTGAAACGGGAAGGGAAATAGCTCAAACCAGAAATCCAAGCAAAAGGAAGGAGTGCCCCTGAGTTCTGGTTGAGGAGTAAGGCACAGTGTTTGATCACAGAGATTCAAGAACGGGGAGGGACAAGAGGGATGGAATTTGGGCACAGCAGGTAGAAGGTGAGGCCTGGAGTAGTCATAATCGTTTTTTTTTTACAAAAGGCTGGAGATAAATAAATAAATATAAATGACTCGCATAAAGAGTATGTTTTAGTATACTTTATATATGATATATACAATATATAAGGATTAGAAAGGGAATTAAATTCAGCAAATTAGCTGAAACGCTGAAGTAAGATAATTATGTGACTGGGTCTTTTTTAGCTTGAAATTAATTTATTTTCTCTATCTTAATCCTAAATTTTGCCTGCAGTTCAAACAGGGAAAAAAGAAAATTATTTACTATGAAGCTTCATTTAATATTAAAGTGATATCCAACTGAACCAACAATGATGAATATTTCATTCTTTTAGGATTCACAAATTATTAGACAAAATGTACTGGCACTTTTCACCTCATAGTACTGTAAGAGTCTCTGAGACATGCTTTACATTACGATGTAAGGGTTGGGTTGGAGTCTAGTGATGCTAAAAGCTGTATCAACAAAAATCAATTTCCTTTTTGAAAGTAATAACCAGTATCCCTTTGCAAACAACATAAGCTGCACTAAATGGCCTCTGCCACAGAGAAAACACATTACACTTCACCAAACTTGTTAAGACAAGCAGTATTTCAACTATTGGTAAGAAAGGCAGCTAGCTGAAGTCTGGCAACTTCCTCTAGAGGGGGAATTTCAATGCACTGTAATGCATGCCCAGTGCTGTAAATGCAATGCAGCAAGTTCTCCTTTTACACCAAAAAGCTAAACAGTAAATACACCTCAATAGCACATTCAAGGCAAGAGAAGAGGTTTTAGCCAGATCTCTGAAACACACAATCAAAGACATTCAAGTATATCAGTTAATGCACTTGGGTTAAAACAAGTATTCCTAATTTCAATGAACAATGACTTGCTAAAAACCAAACTAACAAACAAACAAACAAAACACCACCTTGAAAAAGTTGGGACTTCATTGGTAAAATAATAGAAATAAAACTAAAGAAATAGGAACCATTCAGGGGCAGCACTCTGATGATGCTGAATTAACAAAGCTGCTTGTTTATCTACAGCTTCAAAATGTTAGCATGTTGCTATTGTTAGGTTAGAATTTTATAATTTTTGGATGTGACCACTTTTATCTTTCCTTAAATAATAGTAAGGAACAAAGAGAGCTGTTCAGGCAGTGTGCCAATGCACCAATATGACTTTCAAGGTTTTGCAAAACACTAGTAAGTGGGATGCTTGAGGGGTGCCAACCCCTCTCTAACAGCATGTATATGAAATTATGCTTTTATATGGTTTGTTCTTCATCAGATATCACTGATACAAGAGACTGGGAGCCGGAGAACATCCAGGAGTACCAGGACTCCCCAACTCAGTCAGCATTACCACATGTTACATGGGGCATCTGTGAAACTGAAAGTGACTTTATATATGGGGAAGTGGAGAATCGATTAGATTTACTTCAAGAACAACTCAACAGGTAAAAACAAAGATATGACCAAAAAAAATATATGCTTGAAAGTACATAATACAACTGATATTAATGACAGTACAGGAGGAATGAATTTGCACAGAAAGTTTCCAAAAGCATTCAGAAGTTCAAAAGTTCAAAAGTATGCCCGATGGTAATATCACTTTGTTATCTATATGTAGTCTGAGTAGCATAAATATCACCAAAGTTCAGTCTTCCAGATTCTAGGAAAAACCTATTCGTGGAATGCAGGGTACAAAATTTTTAATTAATTGCCAGAATATTCATATCATAGAATCATAGAATGATTTGGGTTGGAAGGGACCTTAAATATCATCTAGTTCCAGCCTCCCTGCCATGGGCAGGGACATCTTCCACTAGACCAGGTTGCTTAAAGCCTCATCGAACCTGGCCTTGAACACCTCCAGGGATGGGGCATCCACAACTCCTTTGGGCAATCCAGTGTTTCATCACCCTCATTGTAAAAAACTTCTTCCTTATATCTAATCGAAATCTACCCTAGACATAGACATATCACTTCCCTCTAGGTACTCACATTAGCTACTCTGAATTGCCTAGCAGAAGAGCCTTTCTCCTTGATTGACTGTTCAGGAGACCAGCTTTTTAACGAAGAAGCTGAAGTGAGGCACCTAAGCTCGTTAAATTTAAATCTCGCCTCACTCGGAATGCTGTTCCCTTAACAGTGATTCCCAGATATTTACATGTTCACAAAATGGCAATTTTTGGTATCTTCAATATGTGAAGTACTTTTTCTTTCCTGGACATCCAAAGTAAACCGGCTGCCTTGTTTAAAAAAGACAAATTCCCTTTTTGATGCATTAACTTATTTTGCCACATTGTCTCTATAATAAGTAAGACATGGGAATATGTAAAGGCAAAATACTTATACCTGTTACAACAGAGAACAGGTGTTTCTTTTGTCAGAACCCATCATTACCCTTGCTTAATAAAATGTCTCTTCCTTCTCTCTTTTGCTCTCTAATACACTACTCTTCGCTGGCAGCTAAGCAGCATAGCTTACAGCATCTTAAAAATATTGTTACAGAATTTTGATCCATTCTACACTATAATTTACCGTGTAATTTCACTCAATTTTAAATTGCCCTGTGCTCAGGTCTGTGGCTTTTTTATTATTTTCACTCTGCAATTCCATTACTTTCAATATTTTTCCATGACAAATACTATGACACGCACTCAGTCCTAATTATACGTTAGTAGCTCTTCCCTGGCATTCTGTGCTGTATATTTTATCAATCAGTCTAAAGCCAGGTTAACTGCATATTGCTTCCTTTATCTCCCATAAGCCAATCAAACCGTAGTATTTTGCATCTCTGAATACTATACAGTACATTAAAAAGACATTTTTAACATGTAAGCCTAAATTGCCACAATTTCAAATTACAGTCAAGTATTCTGACTGTAAATGTCACATAACTAAACAGCTGCATGTTCCCCATCAACAGTGTGTAGTCTTTTGATTACATTTCTTTTCCTGAAATCTTAAGCTCTTGAAACTGAAGTTTTATCTCAAATTTACCCAGTTTTATCAAATTCTTATGCAAGTTCTCAGTATTTTTTTTCGAGAGAATCATAGAATCATAGAATGGTTAGAGTTGGAAGGG